TTTTCTTCTATTTAATTTTTTCTATTATGTATGTATACTGGTTTGTATTTGAAAATATTAATGCTAAAACATTTAAAATCTTTAATTTAGAAACTGGCTCACAGCTCTAATGAGGCTCAGCTAGTAAATCAACAACTTAGTCTACTGCCTACATCCAACCAAAGAAACAGGGAACATTTCCCCATCACCCCAGGCCCACTCCCAACTATTCAAACTTTTTCAGTTCTCATATCCGTATCCCACTAGAGGGCGACAAAACTAAGCCTCCTAGCAAAGCCTGCGTATACTGGCTGCCAGAGGTTACTTTCCCGCATTTTGCTGAAAATGTAAAACAATTGTTGTTTATAGTTAAAACCTTACCATTGTTAGCTTACAACCTCAATAAACTACACTGACAAACACAAAAATAAAAATGAAAATATCAAAAATAAAAATCAAAGAGCCAAAATACTGTTAACAATTTTATGTTCATAGGTATTGTGACTGACCACCAGAATAGACAGGGATAAAAATCCTATCACATCTTCATTCATTCAGCACAAATGGCAAAGTAGATGGACTTTTACAATTTTTGCAAAAAAGGGAAGGGGTTACATAGTAGACTTAAAGTTCAATAGCAAAGAGAAAAATATAACCATACTTAAAAGTCTAATAAGTGACATCTGAAACCTTACTATCAACTGAAGTACCTGTTGAAATCCTGCCCCAACCATTGTGCCTACTACCTCATGTAATCCACTAAACATAATGCTGAAGTTTACTGACTTTGTGTGGTGAGCACACAATGCAATATACTGATCATGTATCTTAGAAATTGACACTTCAAACCTATATATTATTTACTAATGTCATTCCAATGACATTAAATTTTTAAAAAATTGAACTCAAAAAATAGTTGAGCCCTGGCCAGTTTGGCTCAGCAGTTAGAGCATTGGCCTGCGGTCCAGAGAGGCCCAGGTTTGGTTCCCACTAATAGCACGTACCTCGGTTGCAGTTTGTCCCAGACCCTGGTTGGGTCAGGGCCCTGCGGGAGGCAACAACTCAATGTGTCCCCTTCATGTCGATGTTTCTCTCTCTCTCTCTCTCCATTCCTCCTTCTCCCTTCAACTCTGTCTGAACAAAAAATGGAAAAATGTCCTTGGGCCCTGGCCAGTTTGGCTCAGCCGTTGAGCATCGGCCTGCGCACCAGAGAGTCTTAGGTTCAGTTCCCCCTAGGAGCATGTACCACAAAATAAACAATTTAAAAAATGTACTCGGAGTGAGGATAAAAAAAAAGTTAAAACATTTATTAAAATCTACATGCTAAGAACATTCTTTGTTTTTGTAATTACTTTAATACAACTACTTAGAATCCATGGTATCAGCAAATGAGCTGTCCTATGCAAACTAAAACTATTGCATAAAAAAAAATTACTGAAAGTGATAAAATTCAGGAGCTAATGAAACACTTAAAAAAATAATTCTTAACCTTCTAAAGGCAAAAATTTGCATTGATAAAAGAACAAATACTATAAGAAAAGCATGACAAGATATAAGAGAACACTATAAATTAAAAACAAGACAGACAAAACAAAGAATTATAGCAGTGTTGGAACATAAATTCAAGAAAATCTCTAGGAAGTAGAAAAAGACAAAAAGGAAAATAAGAGATGAAACAACTTAGAAATTCAAGCAGGAATACTGGTCTAGAAATTCCAAATTCTGAGAAATGAGAATACTAGTAAAAAGAGGGAATACAGAAATTATAAAAGAAAACAATTTCATGAAAGTAGCTAATATCAGCCATCTTAAAGGCCATTATAAAGTGAAAAGGTACATATCATAATCATAATATAAAAATTCAGAATCCCAGCCCTAGCCGTTTTGGCTCAAAGGTTAGAGTGTTGGCCCACTTTGGCTCCCGCTAGGGGCTCATGCCTTGGTTGTGGTTTGTGCCCGGCTCCAGTTGGGGTCCTCTTGGTGGCAATCATTCGAGTGTCTCTCTCACATCGATGTTTCTCTTTCTCTCTCTCTCTCTCTCTCTCTTCCTCCTGCTCTATCTGGGAAAAAAAAAAGTTCAGAATTCCAGGAATAGAGAAGGTTCTAAACCCGTCCAGAGAAGAAGGGGATGGGGAAATATCTAGAATTGGTAATATACAACATATCATAACAATGTCAACAGATTTAAGAGAAACACTGAAATGGGAAAAAAGCAGAAATGTCTTTACAAGTGCAAAAATTATCTTCAACCTAGAATTCCATACTTTATTAAGTAGGAGGCATTCCACAGAAGCTACATTTCTAAAAATCATCTGCTCATGGGTCTTTTCCCAGGAAAAAGAGCTCCAGTAAAACAGGGGCATATCACAAGACAGAGGAAAACACACAACCTGGGACAGAGCCTTTCCACCAGTGTCTCGTGCGGCACACTGAAGAATTTTTAAAACATGACATACCTGACTATTTAGACAGGGGCACTGACCTCTATTCCCTTAGACTGTCAAGTTAAAATAATGACAACAGCCAACACAATAGATATTCTGTGTAAGTGAATCAAAATTATACCTATTTTACCATGTGTCAGATTGGCCAAATATATCTTTTCAGTGTGCCACAGAATTTTAGTCATTAGGTTATGTCTGCCATAAGATGAAAAAGGTTGCAAATCACCGATCTAAGACAGAGGGGATCCAACACAAGATAGCAGTTATGTGGGACCCAGATGACTTTAAAGAAATATGCCTCCCCCCCAAAACAGGAGTAGAGCAGGCCTAGGGAACCCAGTCTGTGCTAGAATAGGTAACACAGGCTGGGGAGATTGCTTCCAATGGGAAATGGAACAGATGTGTTTAGTCAATGGAAAATATTTTTGACAAGTTTGTGATGAATGCTACAGCATTTTCATAAATAAAGTTGACGTTAGAAAACGAGTGAATATAGTCCAAATTTATTATTACACACACACACAAATTGAAGACTTAAGTACAAAAACATTATTTTTGAAGCAGGGAGACCAGCTACTCTCTGCACTGGGCTCTGAGATCATGTTGACCAGGCAGAAGGGGTTTGGAGTGTCCTGGGGAGGAGGAGAAGTGCTCAGATTTCAGTCGTATTAGAGAAGAATGAAGGGTGTACAGGAGAGAGGCACAGCCAGAGAACCCTACGGCTCAGCAGTAGAACTACTTACACAGCCACAATCATGCGAACAGTGATTCTGATTCAATAATAACCATGTCACATGTTGAGGGAGAGGGTGGAAACAAGGCCATGTGGAGAGACGCTGAGTTTCAGCTGCTAGGACAGTAAGTCCACAGACAGTGCTAACAACTGACTGAGCTAGGGCACTTGTTCACATTGTTAAACAACAAGGTTAACAACCAGAGCTAAAAATGAAGACAGATCTTTATACCACAATCATATTATTGACATTTAACTTAAAGGTCAGAACCCCTTCAAAATTGGGCATTTGTAAGCAGAAATCATTCCTGAATATGTAAATTTGATCATTAAGGTAACAAGAGAGATTTATAAAATCTACAAAAAGGTCCATGCTTATGATATTGGGTCCATTATATATTTTTTAAAATCATGGGAGATTATTTCTCATTCAAATTATTAATTTCTTACTTAACTCTACAAGTGTTTACTTACATGGTATGACTTCTTCATATTCTTTCCTCTCACTAAGGATAAAAAAAATAAACTTCAATTTTGATACAAGTGATACAGAAAAACAAATGCTACTGATTACCTGAAAGATTACCAACATACAAAAGAAGACAAAACTTTATTTCACTCTTTTTATAATTTCCAATAAAATTTATAACTTAAATCACCTGGAAAGTTGAGTTCCATAAAGAAATAACTTAAAACTAAGTTTTACTGTTTTAACCTAACAGATGCTCTGTATCAGGTACACATGAAAGTCTCTCCCTGTACAGAAGAAAAGGGCAAAGCAAGCCGGGCCGAGTGACAAGCACAGCTAATACACAGTTTACCTGTTGTGCATCTGAGCCACTACTCAGTCATAGTTTCTGATTCTACATTTACACCCACTCCTCCTGGATCACCAGGATCAACAGTTGACAGCTCAAAAGCTCGTTTCTGGCCAGGGATCTGAAAATGTCCTGAACCCCTTTCTGGCAATTAGTTAGAATATCTTATTAAAAAAATAAATGGGTCTTTACTCAACTGCAAAGTCTCCTATTTAATTTAAATTTAAAATGAGTGTGGCTAACCTAACTAAACATATGTACGACACTAAATCGTCTTCCTCTAACAGAGATCAGAAGAAACACAGACACTCCAAGGAGGGTCTTGGGCTGTCCTGTTTCCCACACAGCCTCCTTCAGTGAGGACGGGCATCATGGGTGCACACTCCTCAGGACTGAAGAGAGGCCATGGGAGAGCGTCTCCTGTACTGTCTCCACCCTCTCTACATGTGAGCAGCCGGTGGCTCTGGGAGACACTGAGAGACACAGCAATCCTGACCAAAAATGATCAGCTCCAGACAGTCAAATACACACATACCATGAAAATGCATTTTAACACCCCCATTTTTTACTGTGCTGTGTTACTTCAAGGATAATGGAACCTTTTCCTTTGGTACTTCTGCTGTTATAGCAACAAAAACTTGACCACATGTGCCTTGCTAAGCAAGTAAACTCCATGTACCATTACATAAAGGACACTAAGCAGGCAAGCACAGTGTAAAAACCTACACTTCTAACCCTTGTCCTAAAACAAACAGGACCCAGGAAGTGGACACCAGTGTCACATGCTGATGCAAAGCTTCTGGGAACCCCGCAGGCTCGGTGGCTCTCATGCACCCCGGTAGCATTAAGTTAGGATGATAGAGTCTTCAATAGCTTAAAAATTCTGGATGTGAGATTGAATCATTTGGTTGAGCACAATGTAACATAAAACCCAAATCACAAATTCAATCCTCATATATAAACAACTGATTATTTTTATTTGTTCAGATAAAAACCTAACTGTAACCAAAGTCCTAACTGACTTACCATTCTTTTGAGATTTCTTTAGGAAAATGGTGCTAGCCCTTGGATGGTCTGAAGGAATTTATTCTAAATCCATCTCTGTGTAGGAAGAAGAAAAAAATGCATAATAATTTAGTTGAGCAGAAAAATACACTTCTTTAGAACTGGAATAAGGGAAATGGCACTTTGGAAACCCAGAGATGTAATTCCACAAAAATTAAAATCACTCATCCTCCTATGCCAGTCTCAGAAAATTCTTTTTCTCGAGATAGTGTAAGGAAACTACCCCAGCACTCTGTGGGAAAAGGGATACCTCACTTCCACCGATAACAAATCCAGTAATGAATGATATCTAACAAATCATTTTACATATGCATTTACCTAGAATCCTTTTGTCCTTCCAAATAATTCAGCTAGAATCTTGTACAAACATAATATAGAACTTCCTGGTTGATAGACCCCCTAAGCCATCCATTTTGATAGTATTGCCCACACTAGAAATTTAAATCACTAAACCAGTTGCCTTGTTAAGAAAATGCCTTCACTAAATTTCAAGTTTATTAAATTGTTTTTGTAGAAATTATTCTATTCAAAATTTTAATGTTAAAACCCCACACTATTAAAGTTTTTTCTGCATATTTGAAAAATGAGAAAATATTAGTTATTTGAAAAAATGAAGTAATTGAGTTGTGCACAAAATGAGAGACACAGACTATCACAGCAGCCTGTAACCTTGGGCTTCTGAAGAATTCATGACTACTTCCTACAAAAAATAAAGCAAAGATATGGCATCTGAATAAAAAAAAATAAGAACAAAAGATTGCAGAAGAAGCCATATTATGTATCAGTCAGTGCCTAGGGCATAATAAAATTTGATTACATTTTAATGGGAAGCCCAGGAAACTATGTACGTGAATCAAAGAAGAAGCAGGCTTATGCCACCCCACCCCCCCACACACACACACACATACACACACCAAACCAAGACTAATACTATGGCTCTAAATATAAAAATCAAGAAGTCTGGAATAAAAATGACAACATGCAGAAAGAAAGCAAAATTAGGTCAAGTAGCAAACAAACAAAAACTCCCCTTCCCCACACCTAGGTTCTAGGGCAGACACGTGCCCCAGGGCTGGCCAATCAATCACAGTTGGCCTGGGACCACCCAAGAACCAGAAGGGAGAGGCTGAGCTGACTCTCGGATCCTTAGAGAGTCTGCAGCGGTGGACTCTCCCTTTGCCAGCAGGAGGAGAAGCCTTTCCAGGAGAGCAGAACTGAGACAAGTTCAGAGATGATCACTGAATTCCCGAACTGAGGAGCACCTTAAGCCCTGGCTGCTTTAACTCAGTAGTTAGAGAATCGACCTGCGGACCAGAGAGTCCCAGATTTGGTTCCTGGTAAGGGCACGTACCTCAGTTGCAGTTTGTCCCCACCTCGGTTGGGGTCTTGGGGGTGGCAGCTAGTCAATGTGTCTCTCTCTTGTCAATGTTTCTCTCTCTCTTTCTCTAAAATCAATTAAAATTCTTTTTTTTAAATGGCTATATCACGAATGCACCTGATCTTATCTACAATTTTACATATAACTTGTACCTTTTGCTCATTGCAAATACTATATCACTATTTTATAGAATGGTTATAAGCAGCATTTTTCAGAAAGATATTCATTTCAACATGATTCAACTTATTCCAATTAAATAGAAATGTCCGTTGTTTCTGGGCCAACAGCTGGGCACCTGTTTACTTAAGGTTTCATGCATTTCCTGAACTGCTCTATTCTCATACTATACATTGTATTTACTATACATTGTATTAGTTTTGAGGCCCACAACCCAAAATTTAGAGTCTAACAATTACCATGTATACTAATGATTTTGTCTCTCGGAGTCCACACTTTCCAACCCAGTCAGGTGACTCCCACCAGATGGCCTTGAGCTGACGACCTCCCCAAAAATGCACAGAGTAGGCTCCTGTGTCCCTCAGTCTCCTGCTCCTGGAGCCTGGCTTCCAGTTTCCTGGCCTCTGACAATCCTCACTCTAGCTTCCAACCACCTCTGTAGCTGCCTCATCTTGGATCTCAGTATCGCCCTGATTTAATCCTCAACCTGTTTGAATGACTCACTGAGCTGAGATGTTTTATACAGTGAAGTATACTTTCTTCTTTTATAGTTTTTAAAAATACTTTGCTCGGTGTCTTGAACTTTTTTTTTTTAATCCTCACCCGAGGACATTTTTCCATTTTTTGTTCAGATAGGGAGGGAGGGAGAGCAAGGAAGAGAGAGAGAGAAACATCGACATGAAATGGACTCATTGATTGGTTGCCACCCACACAACCCAACCAGGGCTGGGGACAAACTGCAACCGAGGTACATGCCCTTAGCGGGAACCGAACCCGGATCTCTCTGGACCGCAGGCGACGCTCTAACCACTGAGCCAAACTGGCCAGGGTGGTGTCTTGAACTTTTTAAAATTTATTTTTATCCTCACTTGAGGATACTATCTTTCTATTTAACTTCAGGTAGAGACAGAAAGAAGAAGAAGGGAGAGAGAGAGAAACATCGATATAAGAGGGACACAACTGGTTGCCTTCCGCATGACCCTGACCAGGGCAGGGAATAAACTGCAACCTAGGTATGTGCCCTTGGCCATAATCAAACCCAGGACTCATTGGTGTGCAGGCCAACTCTTTACTGCTGAGCCAAACCGGTCAGGGCAGTGTCTTAGAATTTTAAGAACATTTCTGAGTAGCAATTTCCCTCAATTTCTTTTCACGTTATATAATGTTACTGTTTTAACCCTGTCTCATTACTTTAATGCACTAAAACAAGGGATGTGTGAAAAATTAGTATCCCCAAAGCTAATCACAAGACATGTCATTTTATGAATGCTGCTCCCATGTGCCAAGCATCAAGAGTTGACATTTCTGCTCTATCCAGCCTGACTTTTCAAACCTTGGACAACTCAACTAAATGCCACTCAGAGCCTGTCTTCTCACACGTAAAACAGATATAATTCCTATATTACCGAACTCAAAGCACTTCAAGGATCAAATGAAATGAAGAGCAATTTATATACTACATATGGAGCACAAAAAATGACAAAGCATTCACAAATTAATTCAAAAACAAAACATGAACATTTAGCATTTCATTGGAAAGTATGAAATGTCCACTCATTTTTACTTCATATGTGCTCTGGTTGCCCCTTAAAGGGAAGGGAATGAAAGTCACACAATTAGCAAGAATTTCTCTCAGTTTTTCTGTTTTTAAACAAGCAAAAACATCTTTTCCCTGGTTCTGTAACGTAGATTACTGGATTTTCTCTCCTCCCTTTTTTTTAATGTAACTTATCCTGGAGATCACCACATAGCAGGATAGAGATATTTTATTCCATTTTATAGCTCCATAGTAGTCTACTACAAGGACATACCAGTTCCTCACTGGAAATGAGTTCTTTGCAATATATTTTTTTTAAATAATGCAAGGGAAACAATGTGAATATGTTGCTTCCTATTTGTGGGTTTGTCTTCAGAATAAATCCTCAGAGTAGGATTCCTGCTTAATGCATCTGCACTGTGGGGTGATTATGCCAACATCCCCTCCTGGGTGGAGCCATTCTGCACTTCCATCAGCAACATAGAAAGTACTGTTTCTTCACAGCCCTTCCAAAACACTGAGTATCAAGTTTATGGATCTCCTCCCAATAGCAGAGAATCTACAGTATAGTTTTATTTGCATTTATCTGTGTACAAAGTCAGGTGTAAAGGTCATCTGCACTGTTTTTCTGTGACTTGTCATTGATGTCTATAGCATGACATTTAGACCAACGTCATTTCTCTAAGTCAGCCTATTGAGGCCCTCATTATTTTTGTTTTTTTCCAAGCCACTGTTGGCTCTCACTTGAATTACTGTGCCAGATTTCTACCCACCTCCTTGCTTCTTCTATCCTTACACAGTAGTTTTTCTCTCTCTCTCTCTCTCTCTCTCTCTCTCCTCCTCTCCCTCTCTTCATAGAATTAGCATCATTTCCCTACATATAATCCTCCAGTGGTTTCCCATCACAACGAAACTAAAATCCATATTTGTGTCAAGGCCCCCTTGGCACACAGGTTTAATGCACCACATTCCTGTTCCTGGTGTCCCTTCAGTCTGCAGCTGCCCCATGTTTGCTGTGACTGGCCTGCACACTGTATTTCCATCTGAGGAGCCTGCATGGAAGCCTCTCCTCCCACGGGTTCACAGGGCTCCCCCTCAGTTCTAGAACTGCTCAATGTCACTTACAGAGAGCAGCTGTCTTTAACCACCCTGACTTCCTTGCTGGTTCATGTGTTGTCTGACCCAGGATCGTCTAGAATGTCAAAGCCTAAGCTAGGCTGGGGACTCTGCCTTGGATATCACTGTTCCGCATCTGGAATGGTACCCCATAAACATCTACCTATCTCAGTGACCCGTCCCGCAGGTCGAGCAACGAGGACTCTAGAGGGGGAGTGAGGATGAAGAGGGACAAGAGACACGAGAAATGGAGACAAGGCAGGGTTCTTATCAAGTCTCATTTATTCTGGGGAAATTCACACAATATATAGGGCAGGAAAAACAAGATCATTTGTTGTCAAACGATAAGTTATTGAGTAACCACCCCGAAGCACGGGTGGAACAAAAGATCAGCAAAGACTGGCTTGTTGAGTAAATGGTTCAAAATGCAGAGATAAAGCAGAGATATCCTGCCTTGGGGCAGGAGATGGCAGAGCAGATTTTAACAAAATGGATGCCATGCAAAATGTCTCCCACAGGTCCCCCTTTTCTTTAATTTTAAGGCTGAAATAATACCTTGAGGGGACTGTGCCTGTCTTAGGTCAGGAAACTTGCACATGGTGCCAACCTGTCCGAACCCGTCATTGGAATAGCAAGGCAGCATAAGGCCTTGTTCCTGTCTTAGGTGGTGGTTGGTGATGCGTGTGAGTTCCAGTTGCCCGTCTCTGGCTATCCAGTCCAGTGCACCAAGGTAACAAGGTTTTTGAGACTGAGTCACAGCTAGAGTGAGCTTCTCTGTCAGCCATTTCAAGTCTATGATAGTGGAC